TTTTTATTATACATTTAATGTAAAAGTATTGCACTTTCTTTGAGAAATGACTTCATTTTCAGCGTTTTCTACGAAATTAGAGTTAAATCCAAATAAATATGTTTCTCATATGAAAGCAATTCATTTAAAGACAAATTACTGCCAATACTTGTTTCCAAAGATCGCGTCGGCGTCTGGCGCTCCCCTCTGGTGCTGATATCGCCTTCGGTTGTCACCCCTTCCCGCACCGGTGGCTGATGCCGAAGCCGTGGCCGCGGATCCCATCTCCGCGTCCTTCTCCTCCAGAAGTCTCCTCTCATTTATATCGAGAATCAGTTGTTTAATGTTCTTCTTCTCTGCCTTTTCCGCCTCTTCTCTCGCTTTAAGACTCACCACAAGTTCCGAATCGAGAGGTACGTCAACAGTCCTCAGCACAGGTTTATTACCCTTAGATCGGGTCATAATCATGAAGTTAATGGTCGGACCCTCGGTCTCCTCTTTGGGCTCATTATAGTCAGTGAAAGCGACACTCTTTTTGGTGACATTCCTATTGACAGGAATCACAATATCTGTATTACTTCGCACCACTTCCTGACTCCTGGAGACCAGCGATTCGCTCATTAATTTGTCAAAGTCTTTGAGAAAGTCCTCGTCTTCTGGACAGTGAACGGTCTTCGGTCCGCATTCCGGGCCATCCATTCGCTGCGAGCCATCGTCTGATGCAATGTTACCATCGCTTTCGCTGCCGTTATTGTCCTCATCGGTGGTTGTCTTTTGTCTGAATTCCAAATGTTGATAGTTTTGGTCCTCATATTCATCTTCGGAATCGCTTTCCTGATGCGACACCTCTTCAGCGGCCGATTCTTCTTCGCCCTCAGCGATTGGGTTGAGTCCCGAGTTTTGGTCATCGCTTTCAGCCGCAGTTTCCGAGTCGAGTTTGAGCTGAAAATTAGGCAACACTTCCTGCACTCGAGGCGTCAACTCTTTGAGCAGATCGTCGACGCACTTGTGGGCCGACTCATAATTGGCCGCAAACTTAAACTTAGGCCTCAATAAAAGGATCACATCTTTAAATAAGTAATCCATCGAAAAGTGGAACGGATTCTCTTCGGTGTAGAAATCATAGGTTTTCTTAAACCAAAAGTATTTCTATTGTAAGAAAAGTCAATAAAAAACATAAAATAAGAGACAAATGGCGGCAAACAGTGAACACAGACCTGAAAGAAGAACAGAAAACAGTCGAGTTTTTTCTTCGCGAGACCTGAACTGAAATATTGACCGCAAGTCTCCAAGAGTTGGCAAATGAGGCGAATTCTGACCAGATTTTCGGGCGGATCTAATTCGGTGTACACTGAATGGTCGTAAAAGACACCGAATGTGACGAACGAATAGAAGACTTTGAAGACGATCGACGAGTCGACTAATCGGTAGTTATAGAGTTCGCCCAAAAAGCGACACATCGATACCCTTCGCTGATTGTATTTCGGAGCATTCATTTCCATTCCCAAACGTATGTCTTCGAGCGCGCCGTCGATCACTTGCGGTGCCACCCACTCCTGGAATGAGTTCAGACCGGCCAACAGGTTGGCCACACACCGCACGTTATAGAACTTCACGTTCCAGATGGCGGTCAGGCATCTGACGGTGTATGAGGACAACTCCGGGTCATCCCAATTCAGTTTTCGCATTTGTCGCAGTATTTTGTCGACATTTGTTTTGTTTAAGTCGTGGTAAAGAAGTTTACGAATGTATTCATGCATTGGAGGCCTCTCTATGCGAGTGATCTGAATAGCGATCAAAATGTCAATTAAAAAGTTAATCAATACTTCATTTTTAAGATAATTCTTACGGCTTGTGATTCGGGAGGGTTTGCGAAATAATAGGCGTTTTCAATGTTTGTAATATATCTCGAGTCGAATGGCAAGAGAGCCTTCTTCCTCATCATTTGATCTAAAAGTAGTTTTGATCTCAAATGAGAGTCCGGAGAGCGATACAGATATCGGCCGCACGTCTCCAGCAAATTACATGTCATTTCGATGTGATGGTGACGGAAATCAGTTAATAATAACTATACAAAAACACAATCACTATAAATATCAGTCTATTCTTAAATTACAAGCAATTGTTTTCATACTTACTTTAAGGCAAAAGAGTGCTTCAGTTTTGGGGAAGATATCAAATTTGACTAATTCTCCGATGAATCGCACGTTTTTCTTCTTACTCTCGATGTTTATCTGATCCTTCTTTCGGAACAAGAACTTGAAGTCCTGTTTAAGAAGAGTCACCAAATCGGTGGCAATGTTTGGCATAATGGGTGATATTTGTGCCACAAATCGCGAATAGAAAGGCAACAAATCGAGTCGAGTTCGCGGGACTGTAAAGAGATGACGGATCAGCTTTTTGCGGTTATTCTTGGTGTTGAGGTTTGTGCAGAAATCGATGGCCGCCTTATCGATCATATCTCTGTTACAACAGCTAAGCGTCGAACTGAAAAACGCCTCCAAAAGCACTTTATTTGACACTTTAGTCGCCGCCTCTTTGTTTGAGTCTTCGTCACTGTCTTCCACTTCAATGTCAATCACAGGAGCGGTGTTCGGGTCCTCAACCTCTTCGAGTGGTTCCTCTATTTCCAGATTGTCTTCTATTATATCGATGTTCTCTTCAATAGTTTCTTTGATCTCTTCGTTCAACTCTTTAGTCACTTCTTCTTCGGTTTCA